TGAAATATTTTTAGATTTTCAAAAATTATTCAAAAAAATAAATTGTATTTTTTCTAGAACTTTATTGAAATACTTTTGAAATAAATAAAAGTTTTCAAATTTGTAGAACAAATTGATTTATTTAAGAATTGTATTACAATTTTATATAATATTTGAATTTTTTAAAGAATGCTTTTGAAATTTTTAAAAATAATTGAATTTTTACTCAATTTTATTAAAAAATTTTGAAATTATCCAAAAGGCTACGAAAAATAATTGATTTTTTCAAAATTTTATTAAAATATTTCCAAATAATTAAAATTTCCTAAAATTCTATTAAAAAGAATTACATTTATTATGTGAAGAATTTTTTTTTGTTGCAATAATTGAAATAAAATTTCACAAAATTCTGTAAATAATTTAATTATTTAAATTGTATTACAATACAATTTATTTTATATAATAATTGAATTTCGAAGCAATTTTTTTTTAATGTTTCAAAATAATGGAAATGTTTTAAATTTTCTACCAGCGTAATACAATTTTTTAAAACAAAATTATTATTTACAGAGTAAACTTTATTACTTCTGAGGTAAATTTTTTCTAATTTTTCTAAAGAAATTTTTTTCGGAAATAGTAAAAGTTATTTTATAAATAACAATTTTTAATAGTTAATTTTACTTAGTTCGATATGAAATTTATCAATTACAATTTTAAAATAAAAGTAGCGTTACAATAATTTGTTGTACTCAATATGAAAAATCCTCTTTTCTTTAATTAGAATTTCTTTTTGAAAATTTGAAATCCCTTTTTTTTAATTTGAATCAACTTTTAAAAAATTTTATTTTTTTGATGAATCACGAATGAATTATGAATGAATAAAAACATGAAAATTTTTTTTATTAATTGTTAGTATATAAATATGCGTCTTTTCTATATTTCAGTCGTATGAAATTAAAAAGAAAGTTTGAGCAATCTTCATGTGGGAGTTTTGACTGATCTTCGATTTTAACTGAATTTTTTTGAATTATTCAAACTTTCGTTCATTTTTAGTTTTACACCTAAAGTTTATTTTTTCTATTTATGAAACTGAAAATATTTTCTTTTAACACAACTAGAAATTGGATTTCTTTCTTTTTTTTGAGAAATCGCAACAGGTGAAGATCAAATTGACCTAGAAATAATTATAAGAGGAATGGTTAGAAATTTGGTGTTTGTTTTTTAGTTTTTTTTTCGTCTGGCATAAAAATAACGAGTATAGAAATCAGTGAAATTACATATTGTATATATATATATATATATAGTGATTGAAATTTAAGGAGTTTGAGATGACTGTTAAAAATGTAGTAGCTCGTGCCGCTTCTTCTCTGGACCACCTTCTCTTTTTGCTACCTCTCTTTAAACAGTTTCTCTTCTTTTCTTCTCCTCCACAATATCGTTCCAGCCACCCCGTGTTCTCCTTTACTCTCCTTCTCTCTTTTTCTCAAATACGACCTCCTGCTTCGTTCATCTCATTCTTATTATTCTTATTTTATCCTAACAACCAAACTATGCTTCTAACTAAACTCAGAATTTTTTTTTTTTTTTTTTTTTTGGAAAAGTATAAATTTTGTTTTTTTAACCGATATTTTCAAAGTTTTAGAATAAATTAAATTTATGCAATCATTTATAATTTTCCCAAAATTCAATTTTTTTTTAGTGTTTTTGAGTAAAATTCGTCTATAAATCCACTATTTTTAATAATTAATTAAATATATATATTAAAAAATGTAACATTTGAATTATTAAAATTTTTTAAAAATAATAATTGTGTCTGAAAATCAGGGAAGAAGAAAATAAAATTTTTGTGTCAGCTTTATAAAATAATTTGATACTTTGAAAATAAACGTATAGATATATCATAAGAGGCAAAATAAAAAAAAATTTGACGTCAACAGTTAGGAATAAAATTTGGATAATAGGGAATAAGGAATTTAATAAATGAACGGAAGCATTAATAATAATAATCTAAATCGTGATTCATTTAACGTTCAGCTTAAGAGCGGAATAATATAGTTAAAACAAAGACACAACATTCTTCATGCGTTCAGATTGCACGCGTGCGCTCCCCAACCAAGGTACAAATTAACACACAAAGGAACTAAGGATACCTATAAATACGTATAGCAACGCAACGGCGGGACGGATTGCATGAATTCAAGACGGAAAACGAAACCAGTCGAACACACTGCAATCTGAATTCAAAGCGCGGTTTAGCAATGTAACAACCACAACAACAACAACGAAAAAGAAATGTGTTTGTGCCTTCGTTATTTTTTCTTCCTTCCTCCTTTCAATATATGTAGCAAACATTCACAAACGCTCAAGATAAATATCAAAAATGTTATTTTTTTTTTAAAAAAGTCGTCCCTACGAATTGCCCGCTTCTGTTTGTGCACAATTTCAAGTACCATAAATATCTACTTTATGAGAAAATATTTTGAATATTAAAGAAGAATTGTACAATCTCTAAACCTGATTAAGTCACTTTTGACTATAATCAAATGGAAACGATAAAAGTTCACCAAATTAATTTGTAACCTTTTGACTAAATTCTTGATTGAAAACTACTAATTGGTAGTGGAAGGCTACCATAATTTATTTGTTAAGGTTACTAATTCATTTAACAATTCTGATTTTTTAAACAGAAATTTATTGAAATTTTTTGAAATAATTGAAACATCCTACAGTTCCAGAAAAAGTTGAATTATTTAAAAATTTTATTATTATGCAATATATTATAAAATATTTGAATTTTTAAATAATTCTGTTAAAATTTTATGAAATAGTTGAATTTTGAAAATTATTGAATCTTGGCACAATTTTTTTTTTTTTTTTTTTTTGAAATGTTTTGTAATAATTAAAATCTTCCAAAATTCGACGAAAAGAAATTGAATTTTTTTAGAATTTTATTTAAATATTTTGAAATAATTGTAATTTTCCAAAATTTGACGAAAAGTAATTGCATTTTTCCAGAATTTTATTGAAATATTTTCAAATAAGAGAAATTTAAAAAAAAAATATGTTATTTTACAAAGTTATTGAATTATGATTAAATTTTCAAAAATTATTCAAAAAAACATTTGTTTTCTTTTCAGAATTTTATTGAAATATTTTGAAATAATTGAAACATTCAAAAGTTCTAGAAAAATTTGAATTGTTTGAGAAGTTTAATGCAATTTTATTAGATAATTGAATTTTAAAGGAATGCTTTTAAAATTTTATAAAATGTTTAAATTTTTAAAGAATTCTGTTGAAATTTTATAAAATAATTGAATGTTTGCACAATTTTTTTTGAACTGTTTTGTAAATAATTAAAATCTTCCAAAATTCGACGAAAAGTAATTGAATTTTTTCAGAATTTTAGTGGAATATTTTGAAATAATTGAAATTTTCCAAAAATCAACCAAAATAATTGAATTTTTTCAGAATTTTATTTAAATACTTTTGAAATAATTGAAATTTTCCAAAATTCTAGAAAAAATTTAATTATTTAAGAATTTTTATGCTATTTTTTGACATATTAAAATTTTTAAAGAATGCTTTTGAAATTTTAAAAAATTTTTAAATTTTTAAAGAATTCTGTTGAAATTTCATGAAGCAATTGAATTTTTAAGATAATTGAATCTTGGCAAAATGTTTTTGAAATATTTTGTAATAATTCAAATCTTCAAAAATCCTACGAAAATAATTGAATTTTTCCAGAATTTTATATAAATATTTTGAAATAATTGAAATTTTCCAAAATTTGACGAAAATTAATTGTACTTTTCCAGAATTTTATTGAAATATTTTGAAATATTTGAAACTTCCCAAAGTTTCAACATAAATTAAATAATTTAAGAATTTTATTGATATTTTGAAAAATATTTCAATTTTTAAAGAATTTTTAAAAAATTTTATAAAATAATTAAATTTTTTTTACAATTCTATTGAAATATTTAAAAATTTTCCAAAATTCTTTTTAAAAAAAATAATTGTATTTTTTCAGAATTTCATTAAAATATTTTTAAATGATTGAAACTTTCCAAAATTAACAAAAAAATTGTAATATTTTCTAATTTTATTGCACGTTAATAAAATATTTGAATGTTTTTGAAGAATTTTGTTGAAATTTTATGAAATAATTGAATCTTTCCAAAATTTTATTGAAATATTTAAAAATAGTTTAAAATTATCTAAAATGATACGAAAAATAATTGATTTCTTCGAAATTCTATTTAAATAATTTTAAATAATTATAATTTCTTAAAAATCTATGAAAAATAATTACATTTTTTTAAACAATTTCAATGACGTTTTTGCAATAATTCTTTAAAAATATTGAATTGTCTAAAAATTTTAATGCAATTTTATGAAAGATTTAAATTATTTATTGATTTTATTAAATTTTTTAAATTAATTGAATTTTGAAACAATTTTTTGTTGTTATTGTAATGTTTTGTAATATTTGAAATTTTTGAAAAATTAACAAGAACAATTGAATTTTATCAGCATTTAAGTGAAATATTTTGAAATTTTACAATAATTCTATTTAAAAAATTGAATTGTTTAAGAATTTTATTGCAATTTTGTGAAATAATTGAATTGTTTCACAATTTTATTGAAATATTTTAAAATAATTCAAATTTTTTAGAATTCTACGTAAAATAAATAAATAATTGAATTTTTTAATAATTCTACGAAAAATAATTGAATTTGTTTGAAATATTTTTAAATAATTAAAATTGTCCAATATCTATGAAAAATAATTTCAGTTTTTTTAATTTTACGACTTTTATTGGATTTTTTGCAATATTTGAAAGTAAATTTTGCAAATTTCTGAATAAATATTATTTAAAAATCTTATTGCAATTTTAATAAATGATTGAATTTAAAAAAAAATAATTTAGATATAAGTAGAAATAAATAGTCTTTGAAATCTGAACTTTGAAAATTTATAACTGTACAGCTTTTAAATTTGTTCTTTTTTTATTTTTCAGCTCTAAAGGTGAAATTGATGCTGAGGCGACCAATTAATCAACTGGTGGCGCAGGGTATCATGCCTCGTGAGTACTTTTCACTTTCATGTAAACTTTGATCCAGTAATCGACTATTTGTCATGCCAAATAAAAATTACTCGTGGTAGAGAGAAACAATTTCTCGAAAATTTACCTTAAAAAAACCTGGATTTATTTTTGCTAATATGTCAAAATGAATAAAATTAAATAATAGTTAAAGAAGAAAATTAAATTAGAAGTTTAAGAAGAAAATAATATTAAAATAAAAATTAAAAAAATAAATAAAATTCAACATTAAACAAAAAATTAAACTTAAAATTAAGGAAAGAAAATTTTTTTTTTAAATTAAGAAAAAAATGAAAGCAAAAAAGGAAACAAGAATAAAATTTATTTTTTAGAAACTTAATTTTCTTCTAAATTTCTTTCTTCGTTAGCGTATATATTGTTCCTCGGCTGCAATTATTTTTTAAAAGTTACGAGAAGAATTTCCAAAGAAACTGAAACATTCTCATGATAATTCAGAAGCATGTCGCAACATGAAGTAAATGTTTTTTGTAACATCCACCAAGTTACCTTTCTTACAATTGCTACTGATTAATCCAATTACTACTTAATTATACCCAAAGATCACGGTACTAGTTAACTCGAGAAACACATAACTCGAGAACTTAATGTTTCTAATACCTTCAAATGAGTTGAACGTCATCAATTGAAGATCGTAGTTGGTCTATAATTGATAGCTAAATTTTTTCCCAACAACTAAAGTGTTGCTTTTTTTCCCTGTAAAAATAAAAGTGGCCAATTATGTAATTGATTCTTGTTTACGGAATTAGTTTTCTTGCTCTGTACAATATACAATTATTCAAATATAATATATATTTATAAAAATATTTATAATTTATTTGTCATAATAAAAATAAATAATAGGTGTTATATTTAGGAATTTTTTTTCAATTATTTCCTGGACCAAAGGAGTACAAAAATAATAATAAATACAGCAAATAGTTGTAAAAAATAATATTATTATAATAATATAATAATTCAGTTTTAATGAACTATTATTAACTATTAATTACTTAATTAATAATTAATTAATAAAAAAATTATTTTTAAAAATAAAAGAAATATTTTTTGTGAATTCGATTAGTCAATTGCAATTTTTTGTTGAAAATAAAACAAATAGAATTTCAAAAGTTTATTCTAAAATAATGCGAAATACAATTTTTATAACTTTAATTTACAAACGACAATTTTTTTTTAAATTTTTAGTTTCTTTTAGAAAAAAATTTCCATAATTTCTATTTTTTAATCGTAATTTTTAACGGAATTAGTATTTTTTTTAGAAATAAGAATTTACACTATTTCTATTTCGTTGTCACAATTTTTATACAAAAACCTGATTTTTTTAAAGGGAATAAATGGAAATTTTCCAAATTCTATTAATAACAATTTCATTCGTTATTTTTAGAGTATTATTGAAATTTCTTGAAATAATTAAAATTAAATTTTCTAAAAAATAAAAAAACTGAAGTTTTTAATAATTTTATTGAAATATTTTGAAATAATTGAAATTCACCTAAAATTCTACGAAAAATAATTAAATATTTCCAAAATTTTATTGATATAATTAAAATTTTCCTCAAATACAATTACTAACAATTTCATTTTCTATTTTATTAATTTTATTGAAATATTCTAAAGTAATGAAAACAAAGTTTTCTAAAATTAAAAAAAATCGAATTTTTCGATAATTTTATTGAAATTTTAAGAAATAATTTCATTTTCTTAATAATTTTATTAAATTTTTTAAAATAATTGAATTACCAATAATTTCATTGCAATATTTTGAAATAATTAAAAAATTTCCAAAATTTAATTCAAGAAAGTAAGTTTTTAGAAATTTTATAACAATGTTATGAAATAATTTAATTGTTTCACAGTTTTAATTGAAATATTTACAAATAATTGAAATTTACCAAAATTGTTCGAAAAATAATAATTGATTTTTTCAGAATTTTGTTGAAATATTTTTAAATTTTCCCAAATTCTTCACAAAATAATTGTATTTTTTAAGAATTTTTATTGAAATATTTTTCAATAATTGAAATTCTCCATAGTTTTAGAAAAAAATTGAATTATTTAAAAGTTTTATTACAATTTTATGAAATAATTGCATTTTTTAATTATTTTATTGCAATTTTATGAAATAATTGAATTTTGCAAGAATTTCATGGGAATATTTCAAAATAATTTAAATTTCCCAAAATTATATTTAAAAAAATTGAATTTTTTTTAGAATTTTATTGAAATAATTTAAATTTTTTTTGAAGTAATTGAAATTAAGTTTCCCAAAATTTTATTAGAAAAAATTGGATTTTCAAAGAATTACGAAGGAATTGAATTTTTCAAGAATTTTATTAAAATATTTAAAAATAATTGATATTTTCCAAAATTGTATGAAAAATAAGTGAATATTTTCAAAATTTTATTGATGTAATTCAAATTTCCCCAAATGCAATTCCTAACAATTTCATTTTCTATTTTATTAATTTTATTGAAATATTCTAAAATAATGAAAACAAAATTTTGTGACGATATAGAAGTGAAATCAAAATATTATTATTTAATTGTATTTAAAATATCGTTTTTATTCGACGCACGAAATTTGTTGTACGCTCCTGAGTGCCGATTGTGCGCGTGCGCTCAGCCTACGACCAATAGCGAGCGAGTATGTCTCTCCCGACGAGATCTTCTCCCTCCATAACGCACCGAATCGAGGACCCTGAATGCACGGTCCGAGATCATCACTTCTCGAAGCGGTATTACCGCGATAGGGTCTCTGATGTGGTATTACCACGATGAGATCGAAGTGGTTTCACCACAAGCGGTATCACCGCAAGCGGTATCACCGCAAGCGGTATCACCGCATAGGAGATAAAGAGGTGTTACCTCACGGGTAGGAACGCGCTCTCCCACGAAATCGTTCGGTGCCGTTTCGAAAGTCGTCGTTGTCCGAAATGTCGTTTATTGTATTGTAACTCGTCGCGTTACTATACTAAAATCCGCGTTTGCTTTATGTTATCGTTTTATCGCTTTGTAACTCGCCGCGTACTCTTTTACGGAAATCCGCGTCTCGCACGTTAATGTTTTTTATTGTAAATTAAACTAATCGTCAACGTCGTCGAAATCACGGTTAACGCACGAATTTATGTCGCTTTACGTACTTCGTTAATGTTCGCGATATTACGTTTACGTCGTTTTTCTCGTCTCCGCGCGGACGAATTTAATCAATTTCTGTACTCATTATTTGTATCTCACATTTTATCGCTTTGTTGTTCTAAATATATCTTGAATTCGATTCTGTAATTAAAATGTTAAAATTTTCTAAACGAACCCTGACCGACGAGCAATCCACACCCTTAACATTCATTACAGATTTGGCGCCCGAACAGGGACGGTTAATGTAAAACGGTTAGTTCAAAACGGTCGGTTTGAAATGGAAACGATCGCTTACGAAAACGGTTTAAAGTTGTGTATTCTTTCAGTTTTGTGTTTATTCGAAAAATCACCGCGTCTCGGGAATAATGCCGTTTAGTTTCGTTAAACCGTACGATTACGCGAATAATTCGGAATTGATCGTCGTTATAGTCGATTTCCTTTTTATTTTATCCGACGATAAAAGATGATGAATAACGACTCGCTAGTCGAGTATTTTTTTATCCTTTTCACGCGTTCCGTTCGTTTCGTTTCGAATACGTTTGCCGTCGATTGATAGCTTCTTAAATTTCTAATTTTCGCTAATCCCGTCAATCGCCGAATATGTCGATGCCCACGTTAACGTTCGTCGAGAACGGTACACGTCCGTCCTCCCGAAATATTCGTATGAAGTTTATTTTACGTTCCGTCGTGCATTTTTAGTTCGCGCATTAAAAATGAGTCATTCCGTTTTGTACATAGTTCCATTTTCTTTCTTTTCATACGAATTATACGTTAGATTAAACCGTTATTACGATTTCCGGAAATTATGTTTCGTTACCTGTCGAAACCCGCATCACGTCTTCCACGTTACTGTACCGAGAACAGACGAACCGTCGCGATTAATTTTCGAGAAGATTTTCGCATATCCAGACCGTCGTTTATTCTATTCGCACGATTATTTTATGAATTATGAATCGTTATTTGTTATAGTGTTCGATCGAATAATTACAAAACCGTCGGTCCTAGATTTGTCCGCATCGGATTTACACGCGATTATTCATTCGACTTTGATCGCTTATACAATTACGAACGATCTCGATTTGTTTTACGAAAAGGACATTTTCCTTTTATTCACGCCGTTTCCCTCTTTTGTTAACGCTTTACCGGAAATATTCAACGCCGCAGAATATTTCAACGCACCGAACGTCACGCATACGCAGTTAGTATCGTCAAACCGAGAGAAAGGTTCGCGATCTAACGTTACCGAAAACGAAACCGAAATACGAAGAAATATCTTGACGTCGAAAAGATATTTTCCCTTAACCCACGTCGATACGGAAATATTTCAACGTCGCAGAAATATTTCAACGAGCCGATCTTTTGCATACATTTATCGCCGCGTCGAATTAATGTATTGTAAAAACTTTATGTACGGAGTTACGTTATTGCATTACGTCGCGCAATGCGTATACTCACCGTCAGTTTTGTTTGTACGTCGATCATTCAACTGACTAAAGTGTTCGAGTCGATTAGAAAACGTTAATCGTCAGTAAAAAGTTCCAGCTGTTCGTTTTGTTTTATACCTAATCGCACGATATTCGTTTACTCACGCCGATTACGATCCGAATTACGTTTCAGCGAAAAGATCAGTTAATTGTTACGAAAACGTCGTCACTTAGTTTTAGACTCGCGTTTTGCAATGTAATGAATTAATTTTCTTTTCAAACCTACGTTTACGAATACGAATCCGAAAACCACGTCGTTGTCGCAAACACCACGCGATATCCCCAACGTCTGTGAAAATACGTCCGAGAAAACATTTATTTGTTTAATTATCCGAAATTCACGAAATAATTCCGCTCGCACGATTAATACGTCCGTTGTTAAAATTGTACAATAAAACCGTTAACGAATCACCGTCGAATTATTACGTCGTTATTAAATTATTTAATCATTCGTTTTGATTATTACACGTCATCGTTGTAAAGTCGCCTACGAAACCGTTCGTAAATAGTCACGTAAATCGTTCGAATCACTTCGCTTTATTAAATCGTACCGTCGTTGTAAAAAGTGCCGTCGCTAAACCAGAAATCGAAACGTCGCCGCAGATCCGCCAACGTCACAGTGGAAAGAAGGTAGTTGTGCCATTACGTCACAGATTTTGTAAAATCAAGTCACAACTTGATCTTGAGTCAACACGTCATGAAGTTTTGAAGTTCGCCAAGCCGCCAACGAATCGAGCCGAAGTGCCAATCCGTTACGTATCCAGTCAATGCCAGTACAGTCGAGTTCCTGTGAAATTCGTTACCTGTTTATTTGTGCAGTACCGACTAAATTTTCAATTGCCGAGTTGAAGGACGACCTACGAAACGCCGCATCGCTAGATTCCACGTCAAGGACATCTTGCCATTTACGAAGCCGACGAACCACACGACGCTACGAGGAAGTGATTTCAGTTGTGAAAATTAGTGCGCGCTTCTGTTTCAAATTCCCTTCGACTGTCGACGATCGCATTTATTCACGAAACCCCCACGAAAGAGACGCTCAGTGTGCCCCAGTGCTCTTTTCTTTTACATCGCTACGTCATCACGCACGGTCCAACAAAGGACAACGCAGTGCCCTACACCGAGACAGCCAACCACGACGATGAGGATGAGGTCGTTCCAGATCAACGTGATTCTCGAGCCCAACGTCCCAACCGTTCCAGCTGTAATTAGACGAAAACCACGGATTATGGAAACTCGCACTGCAGCTGTCATCAACGCCGCCCCTACGTCGAATATGTGAGTAGTGCTACGTCGAGAACTAAAGTGTTTAAAGAAATGACATTTTTTTACGAACTTTAAGTGTTTTACGAAAATTTATTTTTATTTTACGCGCATTTTGATTTCCACACTAACGAAAACTCTCGCGAAGTTTTCTCCTTACGAAAAGGGGGTGTGACGATATAGAAGTGAAATCAAAATATTATTATTTAATTGTATTTAAAATATCGTTTTTATTCGACGCACGAAATTTGTTGTACGCTCCTGAGTGCCGATTGTGCGCGTGCGCTCAGCCTACGACCAATAGCGAGCGAGTATGTCTCTCCCGACGAGATCTTCTCCCTCCATAACGCACCGAATCGAGGACCCTGAATGCACGGTCCGAGATCATCACTTCTCGAAGCGGTATTACCGCGATAGGGTCTCTGATGTGGTATTACCACGATGAGATCGAAGTGGTTTCACCACAAGCGGTATCACCGCAAGCGGTATCACCGCATAGGAGATAAAGAGGTGTTACCTCACGGGTAGGAACGCGCTCTCCCACGAAATCGTTCGGTGCCGTTTCGAAAGTCGTCGTTGTCCGAAATGTCGTTTATTGTATTGTAACTCGTCGCGTTACTATACTAAAATCCGCGTTTGCTTTATGTTATCGTTTTATCGCTTTGTAACTCGCCGCGTACTCTTTTACGGAAATCCGCGTCTCGCACGTTAATGTTTTTTATTGTAAATTAAACTAATCGTCAACGTCGTCGAAATCACGGTTAACGCACGAATTTATGTCGCTTTACGTACTTCGTTAATGTTCGCGATATTACGTTTACGTCGTTTTTCTCGTCTCCGCGCGGACGAATTTAATCAATTTCTGTACTCATTATTTGTATCTCACATTTTATCGCTTTGTTGTTCTAAATATATCTTGAATTCGATTCTGTAATTAAAATGTTAAAATTTTCTAAACGAACCCTGACCGACGAGCAATCCACACCCTTAACATTCATTACAATTTTCTAAAATTAAAAAAAATTGAATTTTTTAATAATTTTATTGAAATTTAACGAAATAATTGCATTTTCCGAATAATTTTATTAAATTTCTTAAAATAATTGAATTTCCAAGAATTTCCGTGCATTATTTTGAAATAATTGTAAAATTTCAAAAATTTTATTTAAAAAATTAAGTTTTTAGGAATTTTATAACAATTTTATAAAATAATTCAATTGTTTCATAGTTTAATTGAAATATTTACAAATAATTGAAATTTACCAAAATTGTTCGAAAAGTAATAATTGATTTCTTTAGAATTTTGTTGAAATATTTGCAAATTTTCCAGAATTCTTCAAATAATATTTGTATTCTTCAAGAATTTCATCAAATTATTTTTAAATAATTGAAATTTTCCAAAATTCTACGAAAAAAAATTATGTTTTTTCAAAATTTTATTGAAATAATTGAAATTTTTTGAAATAAGAATTAAAATGAAATTTCCCAAAATTCTTTTCAGAAAAATTGAGTTTTCAAAGAATTTTATTTGAATTTTATGAAATAATTGGATTTTTCAAGAATTTCATCAAATTATTTTGAAATAATTGAAAATTTCCAAAATTGTACGAAAAACAATTGTTTTTTCAGAATTTTATTGAAATAATTGAAATTTTTTTAAGTAGAAATTAAAATTAAATTTCCCAAAATTCTATAAAATAAATTTATTTTCTTAATTATTTTATTGCAATTTTATGAATCAAATATTTGAATTTTTTGGAAATTTCATTATAAAATATTTGGAAACAATCGACATTTTCCAACATTCTACGAAAAATAATTGAATATTTTTCAGAATTTTACTGAAATAATTGAAATTTTCCAAAATTGTAAATGACAAATCGAAATCATAACAATTTTTCTTATTAATTGTAAATTCTTACAAAATGACAAATCAAAATCATAACAATTTTTTTCTCTAAAAAACCAAAAGGTTTTTTAGAGAAAAAAAATTGTTATTATTTTGATTTGTCATTTTGTTAAAAAATTTTGTTTTTTTTCATTTCTCAAAAAAAAATTCGAAAATTATTTAACAAAATTTCAAGTATTGGTTTTATAGTTAAAAAACTTTGCGTAATTTCTATTTGGTAATCAAAAAGTTTGTTGTCCCACGTTGATTAAATTGTCAATTAATCTCTTCATTAATTACTTTTTTTAATTTAAAAATTGCCTTAATTAATAATTAAATTCAAAAATCAATTTCAGCTTTGAAGACACCGCCTGCATTTTTTGAACAACGAAAGCAGTTGGAGAGAGCAAAGACCGGCGATTTGTTGAAAGCAAAAATTCAACAGCGACCCGGCAGAGATGAACTTGTGCGACAGCATATTTTGGAAGACGTCGGCCATGTGGATCCAAGTCTTGCGGAAAAGCAGCGAATGCTAAAGAAAGCTAGACTCGCCGATCAACTCAACGATCAACTTAGTCACAGGCCTGGACCTCTTGAACTGATACAAAAAAATATTCTCCACACCGAAGAGCCAATTGAGAGAGCGGTGAAAGGTTAGTTATATTTACAATCTGTTCGCCAATTAGTTTCTGTGTCAATTGATTAAAAAAAAAAGAGAGACAGACAGACAGAGAGAGAGAAAAAAAGAGGAGAAGAAAATGATCATTGTAATTTTCAGAGGGTCACATTCCCTTTAAGGCAACTTGCGAAGGTCAAGTTACGAAGCCCCAGCATCCAGACCATTACATTACTTTCGAGGACGATTCGCAAAGTTCGGAAGGCGCGCCTTCACCTTCTTTAGAATCGCGAACCGATGTCTTAGAAACGGCTGCAGCTTCCGCTGGAATTGTCACAGTTTCCCTGAATATACCGACGACGGGCGGTGCTGTCGTTGTCACGTCGACTTCACCCGTTTTCCAGCAGGCCTCAACGGAACCGACGATACAGACTTTTGCCGATCTTTGTAATTCCGTTGTTGGTAATCAACAACAACAGCAGCAGCAGCAACCAACCTTCCAACATAATCAACATGTTTCGACGCAGGTGTGTAATTCGCGGGGTTGACACAGATCATGAATATCAAGGAATTCAGAAAAAAGTCAGAAAAAAGAGAATTTGTCAAAATAATTTAATAATTTAAATAAAATTCTTGGCAAAATTTCAACTATTTTCAAAAAATTGTTCTCAATTCAATGAATTTCAATATCTACGATTTTCATAAAATGTACCAAAAGAATTCAAATATTTAGAAAAAATTTTGATAAAATTCAATTACACTGAAAAAAATGTATTTGATTCAAATATCCGATTACTTGACTATTATCAATTAAATATTTAAATTGAATCAAATAATATTTATTGGAGTCAATTAAATGGTATTTGAACCAACAATTTCAGTATTTGAAGCAAATATGAAGTAAACCATTTGATTGACTCCAATAAATATTATTTAATTCAATTTAAATATTTAATTGATAATAGTCAAGTAATCGTATATTTGAATCAGATAAATTTTTTTTCAGCGTATTTTTATTAATAATAAAAATTTTACAGTAAAATTAGAGAATTTTATTAAAAGTACTGGAAAAAAATTAATTTTTTATAGAATTCTTAACAAAGTTCTGAATTTTGGTGTCTTTTTTATTTGACTCTTAAAGTAATCAGGAAAAGTAGAATTAATCAGAGGAATATTAGAGAATTTTATTGAAAGTATACTGGAAAAAAATTAATTTTTAGAATTCATAAGAAAATTTTGAATTTTTGTGTCTCTTTTGTTTGCCTTGTAAACTATGAAATTCCCACGAATTCTAATACAAAACCTTCAATTTTTTATAATTCTGACAATAATTTCTTTTTAAATAACTTATTTCATGAAGAACAATAAAAAAAAAATAATTACTTATAAATTATTAAATGAATAATTTTACTTAAAAAGTTAGAAAATAATTGAATTCTATGAATTGCGTTTACAATTTCCATAAATAATTAAATTTTCAGAACGTTTCAATAGAAATTGTAGAAAATTAAAATTTTTACTGAATTAAATTAGAAATTTTAAAAATCTTTAGTTTTTTGAAAAATTTCAATCCAAATTTTTTTGAAATTAGTCGATTTTTTTAATATATGTTTAATTATTAAAGAAAAAATTGATTTAAAGAAGAAAGTTATTTACAAATTCAAAAAAATAATTGAATTTTTGAGAAATTATACAAATAATAGCAATTTTTAATAGATTTCTAATTCAAATTCTTTGAAATAATGAATTTTTCATATTTTTAATTATCAAATTCTGTAGAACTAATTTTTTGAAACATTTTAATTCCAATTCTGTTTAAATTATTTGATTTTGTTAATATAATTATATATTTAATATTATTTCAAAAATGTGAATTCTTGTCTTCGAAAGAATTCAATTATTTTAAAAAATGACAGAAATCACAGAAATTAAATAATTTTCAGGAATTTAAATAAAATTTTGTATGCAAAATTCAATTATTTTCATAAATGACAATATTCGAAAAATTCTTAGCAAGAATTCAATTACTTTCAAAAAATTTTCGCAATTCATTGATTTTCAATATCTACTATTTTCCTAAAATTTTACAAAAGAATATTAATTATTTAAAAGAAAATTTGATAAAATTCTACGCAAATACTCAATTACTGTCATAAATAAAAATTAGAGAGGAATTCAATTACTTAAAATAGAATTTGTATACATTTTTTCGAAAAACAACAGTTATTTAAAAACTTTTTATAAAATTCTTCGCAAAAATTCAATTATTTTCATAAATAATAAAATTCTTCGCAAGAATTCAATTATTTTCAAAATAATTAAAATTCTTCACAAGAATTCAATTATTTTCATAAGTAACAAAATTTTTCTCAGGAATTCAATTATTTTAAAAGATTTACTAAAATTTTTCACAAGAATTCAATTATTTTCATAAATAATAAAATTCTCCACAAGAAAATTCAATTATTTTCATAAACAACAAAATTTTACTCAGGAATTCAATTATTTTCAAAATTATTAAAATTCTTCACAAGAATTCAATTATTTTTACAAATAATAAAAATTTTCACTGAAATTCAATTATTTTCAATAATTTTAATAAAATTCTTTGCAAGAATTCAATTATTTTCATAAATATTAGAATTCTTTCCAGGGATTCAATTATTTTCCTCGAAATTTACAATTATTATTAACAATTTTATTCAAATTCGTCGAAAGAATTTAATTATTTAGAAAAATTTTGATACAGTTTTTTATAAGAATTTAATTTTTAAAAATAATCAATTCTTCAATACATTATTTATTTTTCAATTTTTTAATAATTGAAATCTCATAGAATTTTCTAATAAAAATTAATTTAAAAATTGAATTTTAATTAAAATTTTGGATAATAATTGAATATTAAAAGCATTATAGGATGAATTTTTAGAAATAATTGAATTTTGAAAAAATTTCAATTTCAAATCTTTGATAATCTGAATTTTTATACTTTCAATTAATAATTCTGTGGAACTAATTTTTTTTGAAAAATTTAAATTCCAATTTTGTTGAAATTAGTTGAACTTTTCAATATATATTTAATTATTAAATATAATTGAATTAAAGAACAATTTAACTTGAAAACTTTTAAAAAAATAATTTAATGTTGAAGAAGTTACAAATAATTGCAATTTTTAGAAAGAATTAAATTTTGAAAAGGTTTTAATTTCAAATCTGTGAAAATTTGAATTTTTCATACTTTTAATTAATATAATTCTGTGAAACTAATTTTTATTTGGAAAATTTTAATTCAATTTTCTTTTGAAATTATTTTATGTTTGTATTTTCAAATATATATTTAATTGTTGAATTTGCGAATAATCGAAATTTTTCGGTAAAATTGATTTGTAGACAAATGGATTTGAAAATTCTCAAAGAACTTCATTTGTTATTAAAAATAGTTGATTTAAAGAAGAATTTTAGTTAGAAATTCAGGAAAATTTTATCACTCGGGCATCTTCATGTTTTATTTATTTATTCTTATAAGTTTTTGAATTTCAAAAGATTTCAAATTTGAAATTTTTGAAAATCTTAATTCCTATGGAGAAATAATAATAATTAAATATTTATTTTAAAAAAAAGTTATTGATGTTTTCGAATAATTTTACAATTAAAGAAATTCGTAAGTAAATGTGATAGAATATTTTTTTGAATATCTTATCATTTTTAGAGTGAATTAGAATATTCTTTAGGGTCTGGGAAAAAATTATTTAAAAATTTAGAAAATTTTAAAATTCTGTTTTGAAATCAGGAAAAAGTCAGAGAAAGAAAGAATTCATTTTTTGTGTCAACCCTGAACTCGAGAAAAGCTTCGTGCTTTCTTTTTCTTTCACAATCATGAAAAGATATTCTTCTTCTCGTGATTGTGATTGCTATTAATAGTGATTATTACACAATCGTAAATTGGATGAACAAATTAAACATGAACAAACTTTTTTTTTTTTTTGCTGCTGTTTACAGGCAAGTCAAGCCAACGGACCCACGTCGACGCTTCTCCCACTGGCACCAGCGCCAAGTCCCATGTCCCTGGGTTCGACGACATCCAGCCTGAGTCCACTTTCGAATATTTCGATAGCATCTCCTCCCGCTCTACCTCCTGCCGCCATCACCCCAAGGCCTCAACCGAGTCCGATCTCCGCCGCTGTCGCCGTTGCCGCCTCCGCATGTCAAAGAAGCGATGCGCCGGGAAAAGACAAGAATCGAAAGAAGTCCAAAACCAAAAGTCAACCCAAAACTCGTACAATCAAATTTCACGAATATAAAGTGAGTTCACATTTTTCAGATCCAAATTTTCACTCTTCTATTGTCTTCTGTTTTTTTCACTCATTATATTATCACACGATAATGTGATATTAATTAACAGAATATAATTAATAATATATATAGAATGAAATAGAATACAGAGTTGTCATAGGTCAGGGAAATTTTATCAAAGTGTTTGAAAATAATCCTGACAAGTTAACGGCAGTAATTATTTTCTTCAGTTGACAACCTGAGAATTTTACATAAAATTATATTTTTTTAATAATCGAATTTCCCTTCAATTTTTTTTTCATAGAAAAAAAACGAATTTTTGTCTGGAAATCGGAGAATAGACAGAGAAAAGAAGAATTAAATTGTATTAACCCTGGAATAGAATAGAATCTTCTATATTAATAATCGTTGTACTCCGGTAATCTGTTCGCAGTTTGCTTTTTTGTTTCGTAACTTTTTTCATACTTTTTCTTCTTAAATATTTTCAATTTTTAAATTAATTTATTTAAAATCAGGGAAATGGTGTAAAGAATTTTATCAAAAACTTTGAGAATAATTGAAATATTCCTTCGAAGAATTTTATTAATTTATGAAAATAATTGAATTCTCGCGAAGAATTTTATTAAAATTTTCAAAAATCCTAATTAAATTCTTTTGAAGAATTTCTTTGAATTTTTTTAAAATATTAGAGTTTTTTTTAATAATTTTAATGAGAAATTTTGTAAATAATTCAAATTTAGGAACAATTTCTTTCAAGCTTTTAAAATAATCGTGTTTGTTAAAAATTGAAATTTAACATTTAATTATTAAATTTTATTAAAATTTTGGAAAATAATTAAATTTTTTTGAAAAATTTCATAAAGAATTTAAAAACAAATTGAATTCTTTCGTAGAATTTTTTTTTGATAATAATTGAATCCTATTGAAATTTTTTATAACGAATTAAGAAAAAAATTCATTCTTTCGTAAAATTTGTTTGAAAATAATTGCATTTTTGCAAAGATTTTACAACGAATTAAGAAAAAATTGTATTCTATTTATAAAAAATAATTGAATTCTTACGAAGAATGTTATTATTTTTGAAAAAAATTAAATTCTTGTGAAAAATTTTATTGAAATTTTTCAAATTAATAAACAAGAATAATTAATTAGTTAATAATTGGATTTTTTTTTTAATATTTGAATCTGAAATTATTCAAAAATTCAAATTTGAAAACAAAAAAATTTTGTAATTTGCATAATTGTAAAACATAAAATTTGCTAGTATACATAATAATGAATAGAATACAATTGTAGAATAATTCGCGGATTGTCCCAAGATTGAATAAAATTCTGTCCCAGATTGATCATCAATTTTTTTTTTCATTGAAGAGGAATCAAAACACAAGAGTACAAAAATATATGCAAAAAAGGAAAGAAAAAAATGAAAAAGAAAAAGGTCGAATCTTCGCGAAGCTCTCGAAAGTCGAGATTGTATCGGGTGATTAACTTTAGTGATCTCGCTTCGGGTCCAACCACAGCTACCTCGTTAGGTCTGAGTAATTCGAGCGCTAATTGCACTTAAGAAGGAGGTAGCCGGGAGCAAGGAGAGCGCGTGTTGCCCAGTAGGTGCCAAACCCAACCCCGACTCTTGGGATTCAAACCCATACACAAGATGATATCGTGTGGTGAGAAAGCGTGCTGGACATCGCCAAAACAAAATAAAAGAATTATGAAAAGAGTACAGCGAAGAGTGTATATATACACTATTCAATCTTGCACAACCAAACCATAAATAATTTGCTTTTTATTATATATATATATATATGTGTATATATCGACAAATTCCTCTTTTATAACGTCTTCAAAAAAGTCTTTGGGAAAAATTATTACTTCTTCAAACTGTTGAGAAAAATATTTCTTCAAACTGTTAAAAAAATATTTCTTCAAACTGTTGAGAAAAATATTTCTTTAAACTGTTGAGAAAAATATTTGTTGAAAAACTCTGGAAAAAAAATTATTATTTAGTTATTATTTGGTAAACCAAATAATAACTAAACGATAATTTTTTTTATCGAGTTTATTTTATTTCGTTTGTTATAATTAAGTTGTTTATTTTATTTTGTTTGTTATTATCAAGTAGTTGGTTTTATTTTGTTTAATTATTGTCAAGTAGTTTATTTTATTTGGTTTATTATTACAAAAATAATTTATTTCTTCCTTTTAATCGAGTCTTAATTTCGATTCATTAATTTGTTAATAGGGTCCTCCGAGTGCGCAAAAGACCTCAATATCGTCAATTCCAGCCGGCCTCAATTCAACTTCTCCTGGTGAAACCAGCTACGAGTTGTTACTTCAGCAGCAACAACTCTTTCTGCAATGGCAACTCGAGTGGCAACACAAGGTAAAATCTATTTTCTTTTTATTCAAATTTCTCTTCGATTTTTTATTTCTTTTACTTACTTTTTGATTTTCTAATTTCTAATTTGTTTTTTTACCCATTTTTCGTTTTTTAAAACTTTTAATTTTTTTTACCCATTTTTCGGTTTTTTTAATTTTTAATGTTTTTTACCCATTTTTCGGTTTTTAGAATTTTTAATTTGTTTTTTTTTTACTAATTTTTCGGTTTTTAAAATTTGTAATTTCTTTTTTTACTTATTTTTTGGTTTTTTAATTTTTAATTTCTTTTTTACTTATTTTTCGGTTTTTTTTTAATTTTTAATTTCTTTTTTACTCATTTTTTTAGTGTTTTTAATTTTTAATTGATTTGTTTACTTTTGAATACTACTTTTTCAATTAAATTTTTTATTTTCAATTTTTATTCTACTTGAAAGAAATTTTTTGGTTTTCTTTTTGTTTGTATTGCTGTGGAAAAGTAATGAATTTTTTATTTGCTTACAGTATCCACAGATCATTCTTCCAGCTGCACAGAAGCCTCTCACCCTCCCGAGTAGTGGAGCAAACGATACAAATAGCGTTAGTAATGTTAGTGTTAATGCACCAAGTCCTGCTCCCTCAAATTCCTCAAGCAGTACCATAGAACAGCCGCCACTGAGGCCACTGGGTAAATTAGAAGATATGAAAGGTGAATACTTTGAAAAATACTCTGAAAAATTCTTTGAAAAGAATTTTGCAAAAATATTCAGAATAATATTATTTCAGGAAAACAATTGAATTCCTGAGAAGAATTTTATTATTTATAAAAATAATTGAATTATTGCGAAGAATTTTACTAATTTAAAAAAAATTGAATAGTTAAGAATTTATTAAAATTTTAGAATTCTTTCAAAAATTCTATTAAATAAAAAATTTTTAAAAAATTGAATTTTATCGAAAAATATTATTAAAAATAATTGAATTGTTTCAAAGAATTTTATTTAAATTATAGAGAAGGGCCAAATTCTTTTGAAGAATTTCTATTTCTAATTTTGAATTCTAATCATTGCAGTGAGTGATCTCAAAATCGAACTGAAGAGAAGAAATCTTCCAGTTTCTGGATCGAAACCCCAATTAATTGAACGACTGAAACCGTTCACTGAAGCGTCGAGCAATGGTTCCACGTCAAATTCCAATGGACCCCACGTGACACACATGGGTCACATACTGATGGATACTCCAGGACCAATGGCCTTAGACGAATCTAGTTCCCATGCCAAAAGTCCATGTTCAGTTCTAGTTAAAGACGAACCATACAGTCCGAGAACGGATTCACCGCACGGCAGTGAACACGACGATCCTTTGAGTCCTCCAGGTAAAATTTTACACATTTCCCCTAAATTTGAAAAAAAAATTCAAAAATAGAAGATAATTAAAAAAATAATTTTTTTTAATTATCTTCTATTTTTGAATTTTGAAAAAGAATTTTCTTTTCACTATTAATTAATTAACATTTTATTTCAGGTGACGATATAATCAAGGAACAAAGAAAACGTATCGAAGAATTGCAAAGAGAACTCTACAAATCTCAACAGCAACTCCAGCAAATACGACAAACACAACCGACCACAGTTCGCGCTGAAAAACTCGTTCTTCAGCAGCATATACAAAATAAAATGCAACAGCAACAATTGGCACTTCATTTACAGCAATTACAGCATTTACAACAACAACAGCAGCAACAGCAACAGGCAATGCAGCAACACCAACAGCAAACAAATTCAACGACTCAACAACAACAGCACGCTGCGTTCCAGCAACATAATGCTAAAGCGAATTTAGCAGCATTTTTACAAGCTCAGCCCAATAATAACACTAATGTTCTCGATTCCACAACATTGACTGCAATAAATAATAAGAAAAATCAAGTCAAGAACAATACAACTGTCCAGTTACCAGCGGCGATTGTATTGAATTTAGCTAAAGCGACCAAATTGAATGGCTCATTGTTGGGAGCTTTGGTGGCGCAAGCTCAAACACAACAATCAACATCCACGCCTGAGGAAAATAAACCACCGCCACCTCAATATGACGAAGCTACCAAACTATTGAAGGTAAAATTAACATATTAAATTTAATTAAAGAAATAATCGAAAATTGAAGTTCGTAATTCTTTGTTCCAAACACGGAACTTAATTTTTCAAGACTTAAAAAATCTTTTTATAGTATTTTTATTTAAACTTAGATTTTTTTTATACATGGCAACAAGTATATAGTAATTTTTATTACTTACAAAGTAAAATTACATTTTTTGTTTTCAATTATCAAATTCAATTTTCATTTTTTCCGCGTAGTAAGAAACTTAACAGTCGAACAAATAATAACATAGATAATTTTTTATTTTTATAAACAATTAATTTTATTTTAAATAATTAAAGTCTAAAGTAACTTTCTTAATAATAAAAAAATAGTAATAATGATAATAATATTAATCATATTAATAATTTGATAAATAATAATAAATTCTTTCAGGTGAAAATCGAGCCAGCGCAGAAGAACCACATAAAAAGTCAAGTTGTCGACGACGTCTTGGAGATATTGATAAAAAATGGAGAACTACCGCCAAGTGCAGCTCAAGATCCAGCGACACCAACAACGCCAAATCGTCAAATGCCACAAAATCTTGTTTTTACAACTTCAACGGAAAATTCATCGCAATCGTTAGTGTTTGCAACGTCGAATCCAATTAGTCCAATTAGTCCTGAGGCGATGGAGATTTCTCAAGGCGGTTCTAGTCCTTCACTTAATGCACCACCACCACCTCCGCCTCCACCGCCACCACCGTTACCACTTGCCACATTTTCAGTACAATTACCAACAACCTTACAACAAATGCACGAGCAGCAAGATCATCAACATCAAGAGGAGATATCGTCTTTTAACGCTGACCTATTGACATCAGCCGAAGCCGAATTGGACGCTGCTATGCTACTGAGTCCACAGTCAATGGTAGCTGCTTCACCCGATCCTCAACCACGACAAGAAGTTGTCGTAACGGACAATAATAATTTGGACCTAAAGGTAGAGCATTGTTTTAAATATTTAAATTAACAGAAAATTTGTCTCGGCTATAAACAAATAAAATAAAAATAAATAAATTTATTTATTTTTACTGTTAAAAAAATTTTGAGTCCTCTTCGGTGGCAGACTTAAAGGTCAAATATTATTAGAACTATTTAAATTAACATAAAATTCCAAGTCTGACACTGAAGCGGACTTGGAAGTAAAATATTATGGAGAATATTTAAATTAACACAAAAAATTTATTCCGCCTCACTGGCGGACTTGAAGGTAAAATATTATCAAAAATATTTAAATTAACACAAATTACTAGAAATTTTCAACTAAAAATTACCACTACATCTGGTTTTTTGGTGTTTCAAAATATTTTCGAAAAACTTAAAAAGCTAGAATTATCCTTAAATTTCTTTCACTTTAAAAACTTTTGAATCACAATGATTTTTCAAGCAATGTCCAGATTTTTTTCTTATTTTTGTAAATAATTAAATTCTAGAATAACTTTCTTGATGTTATTAATTATAATCAACTCAGAAAGGATTTTAGCTAAAAACAATTTCAATTTTCAAAGTTAAGCAACTATCGGAAAGTTTTAAACAACAAATTTTTTAAAATTCAATTGCCCTGAATTAATTGTTAAAAATTGAATTTTTACTTGAAAGATTATTAAAATATAAAATACATAATTTTATTTAAGTAAAAATTGAAAAGAGACCTGAAAAAATAGATAATTGAAAAATTATAATTCAATTCTATAAATATATACTTGAATTAATTGAAATTTTGTAAAATAGAAATAAAAATAATTTTGTTAAAGAATTTTATGAGAAAATTTAGAAAAAATGGAATTTTCAAAGAATTTTAATTTTACTATTTGAGAAATAATTGAAATAAAAATAATTTTGTTAAAGAATTTTATGAAAAAATTTAGAAAAAATGGAATTTTTAAAAAATTGTAATTTTATTATTTGGAAAATAACTGAAATAAAAATTAATTTGTTAAAGAATTTAATTAGAAATTTTAGAAAAATTGAAATTTTCAAAGAATATTAATTTAATACTTGGTAATCAATTGAAATAAAAATAAATTGTTAAAGAATTTCATTAGAAATTCTTGAAAAAATTGAGTTTTCAAAGAATTTTAATTTTATTGTTTGGAAATAATTGAAATAAAAATAATTTGTTAAAGAATTTTATTAGAAATTTTTTAAAAAATCGAATTTTTGAAGAATTTTATTTTAATAATTGGTAAAATAATTTAAATTTTCTAAAATGTATTCAAATAATTATAATTTTATACAATTATATTAAAAACAATTGAAATTTTCCAAAATTATTTTAAAAAAGGTTGAAATGTTTGCTTCTAAAAATTATTTTTTTTTAATTCTGTAAAGTAGAATTTTAAAACACTTCATTTCTATTTTCTAAAAGTAATTGAATCTTTAGAAACAAATAATTAAAATTTGTTCAAATAATTGAAATTTTCTAAAATTGCATTAAAAATAATTAAATTTCATAAAATTTATTCAAATAATTGAAGTTTCAGGAAAAAATTACAGGAAATAATAATTGAAATTTTCTAAAATTACATTAAAAATAATTAAATTACAATCCTTCCTCTGTGAGGAAGCAATTTCCTAAAATTGTTTCAAATAATTGAAATTTTATAAAAAAAAATTTTAAATAATTGAAATTTTCCAAAATATATTAAGGTTGGAATTTTTGCTTCTAAAAATGATCTTCTTTCAAAAATTTTATTTAAAATTCTGAAAAATTAGATTTTTTAAATATTTCAATTATATTTTTTTAAAATACAATTGAATCTTTAGAAAAAAGCAATTAGAATTTATTCAAATAATTGAAATTCCCTAAAATTGTATAAAAAATAATTGAAATTTCCTAAAATTATATTGAAAATAATTGAAATTTTTGCTTTTAAAAATTATTTTGTACATATAATTGAATTCTCCTTGGATTTATTTATCGTCATCAGAAAAAAATTCAAAATTCTGTCTGGAAATCAGGAAAAAGACCAGAAAAATCAAATTTTTACGACAACGCTATAATAATTATCTAATTATTTATTCTTATAGATTATTTCGTACTTTTGTAATTATTATTAATTATAATAATAACTATAATCAATTATTATTAAGTAGAAACAATTTCATTAAGAGGAAGAGTAACAAGTTATTTTTTACTCTCAATTAACTCCTATTTAATTAATTAAGAGAAAGAAAATTCTCGAAAAGCCGAGAATTTTTCTCATCTATTTTCTTTTTTTCAATAAAAATATTTTGACTATTCTCTGTAACTTGGCCTCGATTTGGAGATTTTCACAAATAATAAAAATATCCAAATAAATTGAATTCTTTTAAAAAAAATTCTTCGCATGATTTCAATTATTATCATGAATAATAAAATTCTTGTAAAGATTTCAGTTGTTTTCAAATATTTTGATACAATAAAAATAATTCAATTTATTTAAAATACAATTTTAATTAAATTCTTCGAAAGAATTAAATCACTCTCTAAAATTTAAATAAAATTCTTTGAAAGCCGAGAATTTTTTTCTCTTATTTTCTTTCTTGTATTTTTTTTAATAAAAATTTTTTTATCTATTCTCAGGAACTTGGCCTCGATTTGGAGACACTGGACACAATGGATTTCGGTCAATTAGAGTGCGATTTGGGTGTTAAAATGTCAACGCCACAGGAACTAATGGATATTGGCGACATGCCCATGGATATGGATGATTCCGATTGGCTTGATTCATTAATGCCCCAATCACCGCCACCATCGACAAGTACAATTAATAGACCAACGCCAGTGCATACGTCATCGAGTGATTTCTTTGATCCATTACTTGCAAACAGTCAAGATCCATTTGAACTCTTTAGTATGGAGGACACTGATTTTAAAATGTCCTCCGATCTCTCATTAACCTGGGATAAAGTGGACTTTGCCACCTAGCCGGAAGTACTCTCATTTATATGTACTTAACTAGGAAAAATATTAGCAAAGACTTAAAAATTGAAGAAGAAGAAGAAAAAACACACACTATTACTAAAGAATCATGTGCACTTTATTAGTACAAAAAAAAGGCACTGATCAACATCATACACACACATATATAAATATTACAATTTATATACACATTCTACGTATATAGACAAAAATTTTACCACTTTTATATGATCCTTAAAAAAAAATCCAAACAAACTATGACAATCGAGACATAGTTTTGTGAACAGCTCAAACTGAGAAAGTATACGTGCTTTACTTCAGTTTCTAGCAGGTTTAGTGATTAGCATTATATAGGAAGTCTATTTAAAAAAAAGCTCTTAGGTTATTTTATTCAATAATTATTAAATTTCTTGCAAGAAAAAGAAAAGTCAAAAGAAATTTCCTAATTCGTGATAATTTTATTTAATCATCGTACATTTTTGTGAATAATGTACTAATTATTTCTTATGCAAACAAATTTTTTTTGTTTTAATTTCCATTATTATTGTGTTCGATATTTTACCCATATTTGTGAATAGAGGGAAACGAAAAAAATAAGCTGACAAGAATTGTCCCTAAATTACGTACCATTGATAAGAAAAAGTTATTCTATATTCGTAACATTACATTAATGTTTCATTAGATAGGTATAAAATTTTTAAAAATTTCTATTTTCTAAAATATACTCAATTTGAAAGTTTTTTAAAAATATTGTGAAAGAAAGTGTGAACTTTTTGTTTTGATCTGAATTTTTGACTTTAAGCGGAGGGTGCATCGATAATTTTAACTATTATCAGAAAAATATTTTGTTCCATAAAATAATAATAATAATTTGATTTTTACAAGTTTTAAAGCTTATTGAAAAAATTACTTTAAGACTAAATATACCAAATAATACTATTGTTATTCAAATTTATTTGAAAATTCGTTTGTTTATTTGACTAACTTTGAATAATTTCAGACTCAAAATTTTTAAAAATTCACTTCTCAACTAATTCACGATTATTTATTACTTTTTTTAATTTTAATGAAAATCATCGCAAGAATTCAATTATTCTTTTCTGTATAATAAAATTCTTCGCAGCATTTCAATTATTTTTAACACAATTTTAATCAAATTTCTCGAAACGATTGAATTGTTTTTAAAAATTTAGTAATTTTTTTCGAAATTACTAATGTATTCAATTATTTCTAAAAATTTTAATAATATTCTTCGAAAGAATGTAATTATTTAAATTATATTTTTTAAAAATGTAATGAAACTTAATAATCAAATTTTTAATTACAATTATTTACAAACACGATTATTTTCAAATCCTTAAGAAAATTCTTCGTAAAAATCAATTATTTTCAAAATTTTCAATTATCATTATTAAAAAAACTACATTATTTTCAAAAAAATTCTTTTGAAGTTCTTCACAAAAATTTAATTATTTTCGAAAATACTAATAAAAGTGTTGAAAAGAATTCGAATATTTTCATAAATCAAATTCTCCTCAGGAATTCAATACAAATTTGTAGAAAATTTCTCGAAAGAATTGAATTATTTTCAAAAATACTGATAAAATTATCAAGTATTTATTTATTTTAAATCGAATGCATTAATTTTGAAATTTGAAATTTTAATTTAAAAAGAAAAGTTGTTAAATATTATAGTTAGAAAAATAAAAAAATGAATTTCCAAACGAAAAAATTGAATAACAATAGAGTTTATTAGCATTTTTAGCCTAAAAACAATTTTTAAAAAAGTGCTTAAGAAATAGTAAAAATCAAATTTTTCATACGGACATTTTTTTTGTGAATAAAAAAATATATTTTCAAAATTACGCAAAGATTTCAAAATACATCAATTTTTAGGAGAAATAAAAATTCAAAAAGTGGCAAAATTTAAAAAAAATTTTTAATAAATTTTAAATTTTTTTAATATTTGTGAATTCTTTACAAAAAAATTTTAAGAAATTTTAAAAATATTTTCTTGATACAGTTAAAAATATCGGTGCACTCTCCCCTTGAGATATTGAAAATAAAATTAGAAACTTAAAATAAAATTTAAAAAAATATAATAAAATTATAAAATCATAATAAAATTATAAAATTATAATAAAATTATAAAATTATAATAATGGTGCTAAATGATATTAAAAAATACAGGTGAAAATAGTTTTAAAAAAAAGAAAAGAATGACTGGAAGTAATTCGTTGAATTAAAAATGGTAAATTTTTTTTTATTGCAGTTTACGACTAGGACGTATATTATTTCACTTGTGTCATGCTTCGCTTCAAAGTTAATAATTATATGAATAATGTGTGCAAACATAAGCGTGTGTAAGTCATAAAAAAAATCATGTATTAATCTAGCTTTCAAAACATGAAGAAGAAGAAGAGGAGAAAAAAAGAAACATTTTTGTCATAAATATTTTAACATGGTCAGATTAAAAGTTTACACAAATAAGAAACAAAAGTATTAACTAAGAATATAATAAACAATATTCAGATTATTGTAACATGGTTAAAGTGATGGTAGCAAGTACCCTTAAAAAAATTATCCATATTGGATTATTACCAGACCAATATTTTTAAAAGTCGAATTAATACGAATTCTCTTTGTCCTCCTATTTTAACAGAAACTTTTAACAGTGCAGTGTTTTACATATTATTAATTTTTCTTGTTGTGTTATGACATTCCATGTTTTCGAACTAAAATAAGCAAGAGAAAAGGAGATTAAAATAACTGTTCAAAAAAAAAAAAAATGCTATAATACATATTTCCGAAAGGAATTATAATAGCAATCTGATTTTTAATTTTCAACACATTCAAATTTTAATTTATAAAAATCGAAATTTGTTTCTCTAAATTATTTCTTCCTTTACAAAATTGATTTTTATACATTAAATTTGTATAAAAAAAATTTTATAGGAACGTCATTTTAAAAAAATTCTAATTATTTTAACAAAGTAAATAGCGAAAAAAAGAAATATAATTTCTTTTATTTTCTTTCCATTATTCAGGACACAAATTTCAAAAGGAAAAAAACTATCTTTTTAACAGTCTTTTATTAAAAATACTCCTGCTACCTAATGTTACAAAATAATTTCCTAACAAATTCAAATTGAAGCTATACATATTTATATTTCACTGCATTTACTAAAAAACAAAATATAACTTATTTTCAAAGGAACGATGCAATAGTATTTGCAAAACTATTTGAAAAAATGTCAATCTTGTTATGTTTGTCAAAAAATCATCTGCATTTAACTTAATTTCGAATTATTTCCAACATTAATTTTGAATTTCCAAAAAATGCAGAACATATTTTAATTGAAATTCGAATAAATTTGAAATACTTCAAATATATGCCAATCTTTAGGATTAAGTGCATAAAATACAGAAACAATTATTTAAAAATTCTTTATCACTTATTGTAAATGACCATTTATTTAAAATATGGCAAATTGTATAAATTTAGCCATTGCCATAACGATTTAAGATTTTGTTTTTTTTTTTGTAAAATATTGTATCATATGTCGTAAATGTAAGAGTAATAAATATATACATATATAAATAATAATTATAAGTGAAGCGAAAGCAAAAAGTACAGAAATTGTATGAGAAAATATCTCACTGCTTTTTAAATGCTTCCACAGATTTTTAGAATTTGCCTGTACATTGAATTACCCTATATTTTCAGTTTAATGACGAATTTATAATATTAATTAGGCTGTGCGTCTGAAGTCGGAAGTGCATGTGTTTATTTAATCCATATGAAAAAAAAAACAAAAATGATATGTAATGCTTTGTGAATATTAATAATATTATATTATATTGATATAAAAAAAGGGAGTCAAAAGTTGAGTATGCTCTGAGAGATGTTGATTTTGTTGACTATGTATAATTGCGAATAACGATGTATAATTGAATAACGATGTATAGAACGTGTTATTTATTTTTATTTGTTGCAAATTTATCGATTGCCTTCCATTTGAGTAAATAATAAATAAATGAAAATAAATTCTGGACTTTTTTTTATACATATAATATCTAAACTGTAAGCGAATTTGAGAAATTTATTTTTTTGTTTCAAACGTAACTGAAAAAATTTTCTGTTCACAGAATTTGGAAAAATATTAGTTCCTATTTATTAATTAATATTAGTTAATTAAAATTAATAATAGCTAATTAAAATAAATATTAGTTAATTAAAATTAGTGTTTGCTGAATGAAATTAACGTTAGTTAATTAAAATTAATATTAGCTAATTAAAATAAATATTAGATAGTTGATTAAAATTAACATTAGCTAATTAAAATTAATATTAGTTAATTAAAATTAGTGCTTGCTGATTAAAATTAATATTAGTTAATTAAAATTAATATTAGTTAATAAAAATTAATATTATCTAATTGAAATTAATATTAGTTAATTAAAATAAATATTAGCTAATTAAAATTAATATTAGTTAATTGAAAATAATATCAGTTTAGAAATATTTCACTTTATTTGTTTAATTTTATGAACTTACCCCTTGAATTAATGCGTTTTTACTGCAAACAATTAGTAATTATATTTTATCAATCAACCAAATACTACTAAAATTCACCCAAATTAAATACTAAAAACTATAAATATTTGAAATTGAAAAATTTTCCCGCTTTGAAATTTACCCTCACAAAGCAGGGATCGGACATTACTGATAATATTGATCCTTAACAGGGTTAGGTCGTTCAGAGTAGAAAACAAAAAAAAGAAATTTTCGTAAATAATTAACAAAAGTTTAATCTATTGTAATAAAATACAGTGTAGAATTTTATTTATATACATTATTATTCATGTGCATTAGGTTTATAATTAAAACGTTTTTAATTAAACGAAAATCTAAAATTCTATTTTTGCCCTAAGCGGACTGTGAACGAACCTTAAGTAATCGTAGTTCACTGACGTGACGTTCACGTCAAGAGAAAAACGTCAAAATCTCACGAACAGTCAAGTCAAGATTAAAACAAGATTTTTGAGGTTATATTAGTGTCATGACGTAAAGAGAACAATTTCAAAACGAGTTGATTTGCCTCTCGGTGAGTAAAATCTCTATTTATTTTTCCTGCTGCATGTAATAAACGATTGACAATTTATATTATACATGAAAATATCACAAGAATCACAATAATTAATTTGTCGCAAAGTGAACACTAGAAAATTAACTGTTCGATTGTGATTTTTTTTCAATTGTTTTGTTTATTTGTTTAAAGAGGATATAAATTTTTACGGGATGTCAATAAAAAAAAAACGTATTTAGTATAGTTAAAACGTAATTGCAAAATTAAATTTTTGTCATTTCTTTATTGTAGTACATTGCGCAGACGTTCGTAATTGATAGTTTTTGACGTCACTGCAGACTTATCACATGTTCAGTTATAATCAAATCTTTTTAGTGACGTCATGTATTGATGACGTCTTGTATTTTATCTTCTTACTAGTAAATTTTATAGCTTGAATTTACAATATTCATTCTTACTAAATAATAATTTTTGAAATAAACGTTTCGCTATATAATGTATTTTTTGTAGTCGTAAAAAAGTGTGCTAAATTGTTATATTTTTTTCGAACAAAGAGAGTAAAATTATTGGTTGAAAAAGCAATTTCAGTGTGTTTAAAGTGACAAGTTCAGGAGATAAGCACTTGAAATAGTACAATACTCAAGATTTTGTGGAATAAGTGTTTTTTTGAAATATCAACTTTTCACTTTTATGTAATGTCCCTTTTTTTATTTACAATATAATTATTGCTTTTCTTTTCATTTAGAGAATTATGCATTCATTATAGACTAATATTTTATTACAGTAAGTTTATTTTTATGAGTATTTTGAAAGTGTAAAAATTATGTAATATTTAACATTTAACACCGGGCCAATTTGCTTGTTCAATATTTCGATATTTGACGCAATCATCCAAGAATTGACCATTTCCAAATGGTAACTGAACAATATTTATATCGTATTCTGAATTAACAAATATTGCATTCATTGACGGTATATGTAATTTATTTATTAATTCGTCGCCCTGAAATGCTCCAGTTATTGGATTTGGAGCACCGCAACGAGTTTTTGCAAGAATGCAGGCCGTTGTGTTAATGAAAAGTTTTGTTAAATGATTTTCATCATTTGAAATTGTTGGTAGCATTTGACGAATCGCTTCATTAATGCATTTACCAATCTGTAAATTTTTTAGAATTATTTTTTATTATCCTTTTATTAATTGTATTGATCATTAAATTCATGAAAAAAATATTTATTTAACTCATTTATTTCGTTCGAATAAATTTTTATTTGTTTCAAAATAAATTATATTTGGTTCAAGTAAATTTTATTTGCTTCAAATACATTTTATTTCGTTCGAATAAATTTTATTTGGTTCAAAAAAATTTTTTATTTGTTTCAAATAAATGTTATTTGCTTCGAATAAATTTTATTTGTTCCAAATGAATTTTATTTGTTAAAAAAATGATTTATTTGGTTTAAATGAAAAATTTCTCTAGGTGTATTAATTGTATAAACTGTGTATTAATATTTCAGGTAATTATGTAGAATATGTAAATATAAGTAAACAATAGTTTAATAAGTTCTTATAGAAACTGACGTGTATAAAAAATTTGTTAAATATTCGCAGACGGTAACATTCTATATACTAAAGAGCTATAACTTTAATTACATTATAAAAACATTTAGACGTTCAGAAACTTTTTGCCCATGTCAAACGTTAAACTATATATATTAAAATTATAAAATAAGTAGTGCAACCTGTTTATTAATTTAATATCATACTTTACCAGTGCATTTTTATTAACTTGTCGAACACATTCTAAGAACGAGCAGTAAATTATTGGAGGATTTGATGTTGAATTTATATTATTAGTTGCATTCTGTAAAGAGAAAGTGAGAAATAATTAAAGTTTTTAATTTAAATTGTATTAATTAAAAAAAATGAATAATAATAATAATTGACATTTTATATCTGGAAGGAATGTGAGATAAAAGAGAATTAAAAAATACTAGAAATCAAAAAACTATTCTCATAAATTGTAATCAAATTCTTTAAAACAATTCAATTATTTTCAAAAAATATTTGATATTCAATTACTTTCAATATCTATAGTATTTTCATAAAATTTCGCAAAAGAATTCAATTATTAAAAAAAAAAAATTGACAAAATTCATCCAAAATTCAATTATTTTCATAAATAATAAAATTTCCAGAGGAATTCAATTAATTTAGAACAGCATTTTCAAAAAAGATTTGTAAAAAATCAATTATTTAACAAAATTTTTATACAATTCTTCACAATAATTCTATTACTTCATAATATTTATTGTATTTAAAAAAAATTAATTATAATATAATTATAATTAATATAATAATTAAATTAATTAATTAAAACAAGGTTTATAAAATTCTTATAAAGAATTCAATTATTTTCAAAAAATAACAAAATTTTTCACAGAAATTCAATTTCTTTTTAAACATTTTAATAAAATTGTTCTCAATAATTCAATTATTTTCATAAATAATAAGATTCTTCACAGGAATTCAATTATTTTTGAAAATTTTAATAAAATTCTTTGCAACTATTCAATTATTTTCATAAATAATAAAATTCATGGCAGGATTTCAATGATTTTTAATACAATATTACAAGAATTGCTCAAAGAATGTAATTATTCTTAAAAATTTAATTTCAATTCCTCGAAAAAATCAATTATTTAAAAAAATGTTTTCTTCAAATTCTTTGGAAGAATTCAATTATTTGCAAAAATATTAGAATTTTTCAAAGGAATTCAATTAATTCTTCTCAGGAATTTAATTATTTTTGAAAATTTTAATAAAATTCTAAGCAACTATTCAATTATTTTTAAAAATAATAAAATTCATCGCAGGATTTCAATTATTTTTAATACAATTTTACAGGAGTTGCTCAAAAAATGTAATTATTCTTAAAAAATTTAATTTAAATTCCTCGAAAAAATCAATTATTTAAAAAAATGTTTTCTTAAAATTCTTTGGAAGAATTCAATTATTTACTAAAATATTAGAATTTTTCACATAGGAATTCAATTATTTTAAATAAAATTTTAATTAATTTTTTTTTTATTTACATAAATAATTCTTCGAAAGAATTCAATTATGTCGATATATGTATAATAAAAATTATTTCCGAAAATTCAATTATTTTGAGGCATTTTAATAAAATTCTTTGTAAAATTCAATTATTTTCATAAATAACAATATTCATCACAAGAATTCAATTATTTTTTAAAGTAATAATTTTTTTCTTGGAAATTCAATTATTTTAAAAAATTCTAATAAAATCGTTCGCAAGAATTCAATTATATTCATAAATAATAAAAATGCTTTTTTAATATTCAATTATTTTCAAAAAAAAAAATGTAATAAAATGCCACACTGACATTCAATTATTTATCAAAACTTTTTGAAATTCAATGATTTTCAATATTTTTGATGAAAATTATAGGAAAAAGTCAGGAAAATAAAATATAGAATGGAATTTTTGTCAGTTTTGTAAAATATGCAAAACGAGTTTTTTTTTGTGTCTTCAAGTTTAATTTTTCGACAACTACTTTTTGACTACTTTTTTTAGTTTAAAATCTACTTTTTGATACTTTTTTAAAATTAATTATCGAGTGCGAAGTCTGAAATAGAAGATTAAAAATAAATTTAAATAAATTGAAGAGCAATTGCTAGGTAATAATAATTTTTACATTAATAATAATAATAATAATAATAATAATAATAATAATATGACAATTTTTTCGAAAAACACAATTGAGGAAATTTTTATAATACGTTAACAGTAAAATTTCAACTCACTCTTAAATACATTTGGCAATGACCATAATTTGTATTGTTCAGATAACTGTCTGCACACTTAGCCATTGACAATAATTGATTATTTGCCCTGAAGAAACAACCAGAACACGCATCACGTTTAATAGTATTGCTTCCTTGTGATTCATTACATAATTGATTAAGAAGTTGAACAGTTTTCATACTAAAATTAAAAAAAAAAAAAAGAGAAAACATTTTTATTGATACCTATACGAAAAATTTCGAAATCACTATATTAAAACATTTTAATTTTATCTAATTTCTAATAATTTAAAAATGAAATTTTATTAAACGAACTTAGTGAGATTATTTAAAATTTTTGAAAATCCATCATACACTAATCCCTCATTATGGCTGATAATAATAATGAAAAAGAGTAATAAAAAAATTAACAACATCATTCTCGTTAAATATTATTTTCACTGTGTGTTGAAATAGAATCAATTCAAACAATCAATTCAAAACATCAATTCAAACTTTTCCAAGTTTTTATACATCAGAGATACCAATCATAGATCACGTACCTGTCAGGTATGTGCACACTTGTTTTTTTTTGCTAAATTAAATGTAGAAAAAAAATCATGCAAATTACTCTGAGCAGTGACATAAATATTTTCAATTTCATTGCCCTTTTAGAAAACAATGTTTACTTCTTGTACTGCAAATAGTTTTTGTTTGTTTTTTTGCGTTTAAGTCGCAAAAATATTACATAATAAATTGGACAGAAAAATAAATAGCACTCATGGTAAATTTATAAATTACTCCGTTCCTGATAGTAATTATTTTTTCAGTATTCAAAATATCGTAGTGTGTTTAGGATGCACTGACCTAATTATTCTGAACCGCGATTATTTTGATATTTAATTCATATAGAGAGAGGAAATGGCCTGAATATAGAGGAAAATGTCAAATCTTTTTTCAGAGGAATTCGCAGAGAATCTGTTAAGCAGAATTAAAAGATTAGTAGGTCATTTGAAAGAGGGGGGGATTAAATAAAGTTTTCTCGGTTTTTTTTTCTTCGTATATATGTACATTGTATAAACAATGCATACTTTCAAGTAAAATTTAAATTCACATTAAAGGAATGTTGTTTTTTTTCGCCCCCTCCGAGAAAGTGAGTTTCTAATTACGAAAATCATTAAAAGGAGCATGTAAACAGCACGAAAGTTATTAAGAATTTAATTAAGAATATATTGAGAAAACTGAAAATCATGTCCTAATATAGAAAACAGATTTTAAATACACTTGAGAAAAATTTAATTGGTTCAATCAATCAACCAATTACGTTTCTATTGTCCAGATAAATATTTACTTGAATCAGATAATTTTTATTTAAAAGAAATAAATTTTTTTTTTAATCACAAAATTTCAGAATTGATAATTTATTTCTGAAAATAATATTGAATTCTCCAAAATTTCAATGAAAAATCTTCAAAAGTTATCCTTGAATAATTTTTGTTTGACAATTAATTAATTTAATAATTAATTTCATTACATTTTTTTTAGATAACAAATTTTTAAGAATTTTAATTGCAAATTTTGAAAATAAATAAATTATTAAAAAATTTTATTAAAAAATCTTTACAGAAAAATTTAAAAGCAAAAATAAACAACATTAATTATACGAAAAATTGTTTTTGAATCAATTTTTTTAGATAATTAAATTTTCAAAGTAAAATTAAAAAGTTTTTAAATAATTGAAATTCTGCAAAATGTTTATGAAAATAAATTGAATTTTTTTCCAAGTTTTTCATTAAAATTTTCTGTAAAAACAAATTTTTAAGAATTTTAATTGCAAATGTCAAAAATAAATAAATTCTCAAAAAATTTTAATAAATAATCTTCAAAGAAAAATTTAAAAACAAAAATAAATAAAATTAATTATTTAAAAGTTATGTTTTTGATTAATCTTTTTAAATAATAAAATTTACGAAACTAAATAATTTTTGAAGTTTTTAAATATTTAAAATTTTATAAAATTTTATTGAAAATAATTTTTTTAAGTAATTTCATTGAAATTTTCGAATATAAAAATTAATAAAATTAATTCAAAATTAATTTTTTAATAATTTTTTTATATAATTAAATTTTTGAAATATATAATTGAAAAATTTAAAATTAGTTGAAATAATTCAAATAAATTGTACCTACAATTTTTTATAAAAGAATTTTTAAAGATAAATTGAAGTTAAAAAAATTATGATAAAAAATTCAAAGAATTAATTTTTTTTAAATATTGTAATTTAATCTTTAGAAAGTAATTGTTTTTTTAGTATTTTTAATTAAATGTTTTCGAAAGTACAAATATCCACAAATAATAATTACATTAAACTGGTTTAAAAATCTAGCTTTTTATAGAATTATTATATAAAACATTGAATTTTTCTGTTTAAATAATTGAACTTTCGAAGAACATATTTGAAAATCTTTTAAAAATAACTGAGAAGAATTTTAGTTAAAAAATTTAGAAAATAATTTAAGTTTGAATGAATTACAGTTATTATTTTTATAAATAATTAAATCACAAAAGATTTGAAATTGAAATTTAAAAAATTTGAATTCCTATGAAAAAATGGATAACATGTATTTAAATATTTTATTTAACAAAATTATTGAATATTATTTAAATAATTAAATTTAGAAATCAGTGAAAGGTCAGGGAAAAACGAAATGAAATTTTTGTGACAACACTGTATAAAATAATCAACTTTTTCGATTCTTTTTCGTAATTTTAATCGACTAAAACGACTTTTTTGTCCTGGAAAAACCTTGGTATCTAATTATTTTTAGAATGAATCGCAGGATAATTTTTAGAGACAGAAAGAAAATCGAAATTCTATTTGGAAATCAGGAAATGACAAAATCAAATTTTTGTGACAGCAAATTTGTATCTGGATGGTATGTGAGATAAAAGAGATTTAAAAAAATCCTTTGAAACTTTTAGACTAAAAAAATTTTTGATTTTAAAATTTCTATAAAATTTTTTACTATTTATAATACTGCACTGAAAAAAAAATTTACTTGATTCAAATATATCCGATTACACTTGTCTACTATCAAAAAAATATTTACTTGAATCGAATAATTTTTATTTAAATCAAACAAATTTGAAGCTATAATTTATTCGAACCATTTAGTTCGAATAATTATCAGTATTCGAAGCAAATAGCATTTAATTGATTTAAATTTAAAAATTATTTGATGCAAATATTTATTTACTTGCTTGCATAAAATAATTTCTATATTTAAATCAAATAAACTGTATTGGTATATCAATTAGTATTGGTACCAAATACCAAAAGATTGAAGCAAATAACATTTAATTTACTTGAATAAAAATTATTCGATTCTAGGAAATATTTATTTTATAGACAAACATAATCGTTTATTGGAATAAAAAAAATCTTTTTCAAAGAAAAAGATCATTCAAAAGAAAGATTCAATTAAAAAGATTAAATTCCCCACTATTGTTGCGATTACAATCAAATACATAAGGCATTTTTTAAAAAATATAATATTCAGAGAAATTAAGAATATCTAGAATCATTTCATCATTTCATCATCATTTCAATTTCATATTAAGGCCCTGTTCCTTATATAGGCCGTTTCCTTTAAAAACACATTTACTTAAATTTCATTTAATGCTTTATGGATAAGAATAAAAATTTAAACTAGGTCGAAGTATTTTTTATTTTTATATTTGACAAATATTATATATATACGTATTTTTAGAAAGATCTATTCTTATTTTTACGCATATTATGCTTTATGTTGCCGTATCATTTTGTATTTCATTTCATCTTTGAATTTCTAAATATTTTTCTGACTAACAAGTATTATTTTGATTTTGAAAATATTTAAAAAATTTTTCCTACCTAACATTTTCGTAACATTTATTTTTAGAGAAATTTTCCATTTCAAAACAATTTTTTTTTTTCTTTATATATAGGATAATTTAACAATTTTGAAAATTGTCAACATATCTGCTATTTTTGTGAAATTATTTTTAAAAATTGTCTCATTCATCTAAAATTTAAAGAAAAATTTTATTTGATTCAAATAATTTTTATTAATTTTAATTTATTTAATTTTAAATAAATTTGAACCAATAATTTTATTTTGCTATTATAATATTATAATATAAAATTATACAATTTCTATTCCGAGCAAATACAATTTAATCGATTTAGATAAAAATTAATTTGATTCGAGTAATATTTATTTAATAATATAGACAAAATTATTATTTAAATTCAAAAAAATCATACACTGAAGAAAAAATTTATTTAAATATATAAATAAATTTTTTCTTGAGTTTTTTAACAAAAGAAACTTTTTTAATTAATTTAACTTTAGTATTTTTTTTTTTATTGAGAATATAAAAATTGGGTTTGCAATATTGCGTTAGATGAGAAAACTATTGAATAATATAAAATATTTGTGGTATTGATAAAGATGATTAAAAATAAGATACATAAAGTGGGATAAATTGTACCTATATCGATCGCCCTAGTTGGTGTATGCACTTACAGTATGCAATCCTATAGAAGCCCATGCAGTGTCTAGGTTAGTTTTTATTCTTGCACTATTTACAGCGTATATTTCCTATGCATATATATAATCACAATTCACGTGAATTGTAAATATAACAATTAAGCAATCGGTTTCCTTTAATTAAACATTTTTCCGGATAACTCATGCATTTTCCATTTCTTGTTATTTCTATTTTTATTTTACATCGAATTTTTTTTTTGTAACTGCGTACAAAATTTTATTTATCATAATATTGTACAATATTGTGTAATATTTTATTTATTATAATATAAATAAACAAAATATAATATCGTATTTATTATTTTATAATACTGTATTCATTATAATATTTAAATGTTCTACATAAATATCTCTGAAGTTTTGAACGATCAACGTTTTTTCTCATACTTTATTCAAATTTGAGTTTCAATTAAAAAATAATTTTTTTCTAAATTAAAAAATTTTTAACTAAATAAATATTCAATTTTTTTTTATTTCTTATTTCATTTCCAGTGATTTCTTAAAAATATTAAAAGAAAAAAAATTTAAATTCCTTCATTTGAACATTGAAAAAATTTATAAAAATAAATTTTGCAATTATTCTTTATAATTAATTACTGATTTATTATTTAAATAAATTTTATTTAATTAATACTGATATTTTATTTAATATAAATAATATTTTTATTAATTAATAGTTTCATTAAAAGTTTCCATTAATTGTTTCATTAAAAATATTTCTTTCTTTATTCACAAATAAATATTTTATTTTTATTTATTCAACAGTAATTTTTGAGTTTTTTAGAAATATTTAAACAAACAAAAAATTATAATTCGTTCATTTGAATGTTTAAAATAATTTAGAAAATTATTATTCGTAACTACTATTATTTTATTAATGCTGATATTTTGTTTAATATAAAAAATATTTTCATTGATTAATAGTTTTTATTAAGTGTATTTGAACCATTATGACGTCACAGTTTTAGAACATATGCTTTACACAAACTGTGACGTTATAATGGTTCAAGTGGCCTTAAAAAACAATTTTTTCTAATTTAAATAATTCTTGACTAAATAAATATTGACTTTATTTTATTTTTCACTTTATTTTCAGTTATTTTTTTGGAAAATATTTAAGTGGATTTGAACTATTATGACGTCACAATTTGTGCAAAGCATGTGTTCTAAAAGCTGTGACGTCATCATAGTTCAAATTCCCTTAAACAAATAAAAATTTATTGTAATTATTATGAATTACTATTGATATTTTATTTATATAAAAATATTTTTTTTTTAATTTTCATTACTTAATAGTTTTATTAGAAAATAATTGTTTTCTAAATCAAAAATATTCTTATAATTACATAAATATTTAATTATTAATTTATTTTTTAATTTATTTTCTGTAATTTTTTCTAATTTAAACAGAAGAAAATTATTCTATTATTTAAATACAAAAGTAAATAATTGATTGAGAAATTGAATATTGCTGAAAATTGAATTTTTATAACGTATTTTATCAAAATTAAAAAAAATAATTTGTATTCTTGCGACGAATTTTATCAAAAATTTTTAAGGGCATTTGAACCATTATGACGTCACAATTTGTGCAAAGCACGTGTTCTAAAATTGTGACGTCATAATGGTTCAAATACCCTTAAATAATTGAAATTTTTTAAACCATTTGTTATTAAGAACTTTGAGGGTAATTAAATTCGTTTGAGGAAAATAATTGTCTACAATTATTGTATTGAATATAAAAAATTATTATATAAACGAATTTTATCGAAATTATTAAAAACAATTGATTTCTCTCGGAGAATTTTATAAAAATATTTTTAAATAGTAATTTTCTTTCAAAATTTTTATAAATATTGTGCGTTTGAAATAATTGAACTTTTGGGAAAATGTAATTATCTATAAAAATAATTGATTTTTTGCAAAGGATTTTCTTGAAATTTTTTTTAAATAATTGAATTCTTTTGTGAAATTTCTTTCAAAAAATTTATGAAAATTTTATTTCAAATAATTGAATTCTTGGGAAAATTTGATTATTTATAACAATAATTGAATTTTTGCGAAAATTTTATAACTTATAAAATTAATTGAATTTTTCAAAGAATGTTCTTGAACTTTTTTTTAAATAATTGAATTCTTTTGTGAAATTTCTTTCGAAAATTTTTTATAAAAATTGTATTTCAAATAATTGAATTTTTGGGAAAATTTTATTTTTTATAAAAGTAATGGAATTTTTGCAAAGAATTTTCTTGAAATTTTTTTTTAATAATAGAATTCTTTTTGAAATTTTCTTTCAAAAATTTTATGAAAATTTGTTTTCCAAATAATTGAATTTTTGGTTAAATTTTCATTATTTATAAAAATAATTGGATTTTTGCAACGAATTATCTTGTAATTTTTTTTTTAATGTGTAATTGAATTCTTTTGTAAAATTTCTTTCAAAAATTTTATGAAAATTCTTTTCCAAATAATTGAATTTTTGGGAAAATTTCATTATTTATAAAAATAATTGAATTTTTGCAACAAATTTTCTTGAAATTTTTTTTAAATAATTGAATTCATCTGTGAAATTTCTTTCAAAAATTTTATGAAAATTGTATTTCAAATAAATGAATTCTTGGGAAAATTTTATTATTTATAAAAATAATTGAATTTTATGCAAAGAATTTTCTTGAAATTTTTTTTTAAATAATATAATTCTTTTGTGAAATTTCTTTCAAAAATTTTATGAAAATTGTATTTGAAATAATTAAATTTTTGGGAAAATTTGATTATTTATAAAAAATAATTGAATTTTTGTGAAAATTTTATTACTTATAAAATTAATTGAATTTTTGCAAAGAATTTTCTAGAAATTTTTTTAAATAATTAAATTCTTTTTTGAACTTTTATGAAAATAGTCTAGGTAGCTATATTGAAAATAATTGAATTGTAACCTAGAATTAAATAAATATTTAATTTAATTTATTTCTCATTTTATTTTCTGTAATTTTGTCTAATGTAAACAGAAGAAAATTATAATTAGTTAATTATTATAAATAGTTAATTAAATTAATATATTAATATTATTATTAATATATTATTATAACTTAACACAGTTTTATATAAACTGAACAGAATATAATTTTCAATGCCCCGAGAAAAATTATCTTATATTTATGTGCGTCTATATAATCTTAAATTACTTTTTCTTTTTGTTGTAGATCTTGAGAGGAACGTTCTTCACACTTCAGGTAAAGTTATTAAAATATTGTCATTATTCATGAGAAAACATGAAAGTAGAAGGCCTCTCTCATTCACAACCAATTTTTCCTTTCAACTCTCTTTGAGTTGAAAATTGAAAATAGGTACAAATTACCATAAATAAAATAGACATGGTCCCGGAAGAAGCAGGTCGCGTGCATTCACGTTGCCCTATTTCATTTATTTTAATTTCACACATACCTATAAATACATATTTCTCCCTTTAAAAAATAAATATATGAATGAATTGGGGGGGAAAGTGATATTGTACATTTCATGCCTTCTACTTTCATTTCAAAATTTTAAATTCAAATATTCAAATAATATAATTGAAATTCAATCGCATTTTTGCAATTTTTTTATATACAAAAACTCTTCTATTTCTCCATCTGCGCGAAATGATGCAATTTTTCCGAATTAAAACAAATAATATGCACTAGCAAAAAGCCTTTAGAAATTTTTTTTTTTGTATTTAAAATATAAGAGAAAAATACTTAATGAAACTAAAAATAATGTTTCTAAAAGTGTATAAATAATTCTAAAGTTGATTTCTGATCCACTATAAGCGATGTGCCGTTATGAGACCGCATTCTTTCGAGTCTTGCATGCGCAACGCCACGCAGATTGTTACATCCCTGTTTTTCTTTTTTGTCTTTTTTTAAATTCCTCGCGAGTGATTGTTGTTGCTTCAGCCATTTTATGATAGTTTCGATTTATTAAAATCATATTCCATTGAATCATTTTCTACTGATTGATAAACAAGTTCAATACCGTGAAGTCATCCATTTAAGATTATTATATATATATAATAATGAGTCGCATACACATTTATACAAATATTTCAGCGATAATTCTCAGCTTTTATATGTGTCACGCAATTTTCTAGAAAAACAGATGAAGAAAACAATTTGTTACGATCAGTCATTCTTGTTCTCAATTTAAATTGTTGTAATGCCACTTGGTCCTAAGACAAATAAATAAACGTGCGAGTGTTGGTAGGTGTGTGTATATATATATATATATAGTAGTGAATATATATATAACATCCGCTTGCTATATATATACATATAAGATATTTATCTTGGCTAAGAGAAAGTCGACAGACTATCTCAGACTATCTCGCGACAGCGAATGTATTACGACACTAATAACTATGACGTCAAAGGGCTGCAATGGCATTTTCTTCATTAAATTTAAATCTACAGTTTTTTTTTTCGCGACATGAAAAACAAATATATTCTTGTTTTTATTTTTTATTTTTATCTTATTTACACATTGAAGTGTATAAAACCATTTTGCTGAAATTATGAAAATAAAAGCATCAAAATCAATTTTGCGATAAGATTACGCGCATATTAGTCAATTAAGTTGACAAAATAATAAGTGACTCGGTGTAAAAAAATGTGTCTCATTTATTATGAATTTGTCCTCTTAAGCAATATTTTTATTTATTAGCTATTTATTACTTTTGCGTGATTATGAAAATTATTATGAAAATTATTATTAAAAAATTATTTAAAAATTATTAAAAAATTGTTAAAAAATTATTAAAAAATTATTAAAAAATTATTAAAAAATTATTATGAAAAAATTGTATTCTTAATTTAAGAATAAATCTCGGTTTCTATTTTAGAAAAAAATACTCTTAGTGTTGGAATAAAGGCTTCGCACTCGATAATTAATTTTAAAAAAGTAGCAATATAAGTAGCTTTATGAATATGAAAAAGTAGTATCGACAAATTAAACTTGACTAATAAAAAACTCGTTTTAGTCGATTCGCAAAAATTCGATTTAATATAACTCAAACTTTTTCCTTATTTCAAGCAAAAATATTTTTTTTTCTAATATCCTATAGGATAAGAAAAAAAAGAAAACAAAATTTGGAAAATAATTTTTCTAGAGTTAAATTATTTTCCAAATTCAAAAATAGGATTATATTTAAAAAATAATATTTAAAAAAGTAAAAAAATAAAATAAAATTCTTTAGAATATAAAATTTATTTCAATTAAATTTGACGAAAATCTTCAATTAATTGCAAATTTAATTCAATCTTTTAAATATAACAACCTTTTCTATCAAAATTCAATCATTTTTTTAGAATTAAATAAAATTATTCAAAACTTTAATAATTTTTTTAAAAAATAATTTAAAACTTTTGAAATTTAATTATTATTTCTGTAAATTCAAATTACAACGCTTCTATAATATTCAATTTTTATCTACAATTTCATCAGAAATTCATTTATATCAATTCTTGTTAGAAAATTTTACGAGAATTTCTATTCTTTAAATACAAAAGTAAATAATTAATTGGAAAATTTAATATTCCTGGAATAGCAGGTAAAAAATTACACGAATACATTTCTTAAAAGTTACATCTGAATTTTTACAACGTATTTTATCAAAATTAAAAAAAAAATAATTTGAATTCTTACGACAAATTTTATTAAAAATTTTTAAATAATTGACATTTTTTAAACAATTTTTTATTAAGAATGTTGAAGGTAATTAAATTCGTTTGAAAAAAATAATCGCCTACAATTATTGTATTGAATATAAAAAAATTCTTATAAACAAATTTTATCGCAATTATTAAAAACAATTGATTTCTCTCGGAGAGTTTTATAAAAAAAATTTTTAATAGTAATTTTCTTTCACAAATTTTATGAAAATTGTATTTCAAATAATTGAACTTTTGGAAAAGTTTTATTATTTATAAAAATAATAATTGAATATTTGCAAAGAATTTTCTTGAAATTTTTTTTAAATAATAGAATTTTTTGTAGAATTCCTTTCAAAAATTTTATGAAAATTTGTATTTCAAATAATTGAATTTTTGGGAAAATGTGATTATTTATAAAAATAATTGAATTTTTTTGAAAATTTTATTACTTATATAAAAATAATTGAATTCTTCCAAAGAATTTTCTTCAAATTTTTTTTTTTTGAAATAATTGAATTCTTTTATGAAATTTCTTTCAAAAATTTTATGAAAATTGTATTTCAAATAATAATTGAATTTTTTTGAAAATTTTATTACTTATATAAAAATAATTGAATTTTTGCAAAGAATTTTCTTGAAATTTTTGTTTGAAATAATTGAATTCTTTTATGAAATTTCTTTCAAAAAATTTTATGAAAATTGAATTTTAAATAATTGAACTTTTGGGAAAATTTTATTATTTATAAAAAAAAATTGATTTTTGTGAAAATTTTATTTATAAATATAATTGAATTTTTGCAATTGATTTTCTTGAAATTTTTTTTAAATAATTGAATTCTTTTGTGAAATTTCGTTCAAAATTTTTATAAAAATTCTTTTTCAAATAATTGAATTTTTGGGAAAATTTTATTATTTATAAAAATAATTGATTTTTTGCAACTGATTTTCTTGGAATTTTTTTTTAAATATTGAATTCCTTTGTGAAATTTCTTTAAAAAATCATACAAAAATTGTATTTCAGATAATTGAATTTTTGGAAAAATTTGATTATTTATAAAAATACTTAATAGAATTTTCTTGAAATTTGTTTAAATAATTAATAATTTTATAAATTTTTTTTAAAGAAATTTTATAATAATACTATAGCTACTGAAAATAATTGAATTGTCTGCGTAGAATTGTATTATTTGGAAAAATAATGAACTTTTGACAAAAAAATATTCTTAAAATATTTTTTTGAAAATAATTAAATTTTTTTGAAAGAATTTTATAAAATTATTGTTGAAGAATAATTTTTATATTTTAATTATTAGCGGATTTAAAGTGTAAATTCTAAAAAGAAAAAAGAAATGAAAAAGTATCTTTTAATGTCACATTTCTAAAGAAAAAAGTATCCAAATAGTAGCAAAAGAAGTAAATAGTAGGTTTTAGATGAGTGCGAAGCCTTTGAATATTATTATTTTTAAATATGATTCTATATGTTTTAAATTATTAAAATTAGTAATTCTTAAATTTATAACACAAAAGAGAAAATCTTCAAACAAACAAATTCTAATAAAACTGCGTTAAAAATGCTGTAAAAGAAATCTTATTTTAAGAGAAAAATCTGTTTAAAAAAAATCTTATTTTAAGATAAGAAAACCTTAAGACAAACCTTAAGATTTAATTACCAATAAGGTTTGCCTTTTGCAGATGATAAATTACTGCGCAGGAATTTAAATTTAACTCTCCATTTAAGTCCGGAATTTGACTGTCAAACATTTCTATACATTGGATAAATATTGCGACTTTATCATTCTTTCTCGATCACTTATATAAAAGTTTCCCTGATTCAGATATTATGTAGTCGCAATAATACATCAACTGATAAACTCATTTTATATTTCGAAATTATTTAAAACGCAATTTTCTGTGGTATAAATACGATACAAAACCAATAATTATTGCCCAGTGGTAATAATGAAATAATTAAATCGAAATGGCAATGAAAATTTAAAAATAGAATTTCGTTTGAAAGACGAAAATTTTGGATTAAAAACATTTTCTTTGATCGCAAATATTATTAGCCATAAAAAAAATGTATTTCTAAGATTTTTCACTTCATAAAAGCCAGACATATTTCACATGAAACTGACCCACACGTGTATACTTTAAACGCTTACACATCTCTTTGTAAGCAGAAACTGGCATAGTTACACTAACTGTAAAACTGTACATGCCGGAAGTTTTTCATTATTTATATTTTTATGCTGATCATGCAGTGAGCGCGTTATTTTCTCATTATGGTACTTATTTTTCCCCTGGTTATATTGTATTTATATCTAATCAACTTATTTATTTTGGTATTAGGATTATTTTTTCTTTTCTATGTTTATTGGAAAAGAATGTAATTTTGTAATAGGAAAAAATTTATTTGGATCAAATGACAAATTAGTTTTCTATTATCAAGTAAATATTTACTTGAATTCGAATAATATTTACTTGAATCCAAAAATTTTTCTTTACCTCTAATAATTTTTATTTACATCAAGGAATTTATAGATTAA